CTGACCTAGGGTGAGTTTTAAATAGGGACAATTTTTAACGATTTTAAAGAGCCACAGCTACCAATATTTGGGTTTTAATTGGTTTTTAGTAGGGGAAATTTTTTGTATGATGTTTTAATACGCTGTGAGCCGCCCTGAGTCCCATGGGGAGAAGGGCGGCATATAAATCCTGTTAAATAAATAAATAAATAAAATAAAATAACAACAACAACAACAATAACAATAACAATAATAATAAATAATTTGAAAGAATACCCTGCTATAAAGCATTGGCAAGTCACTTGTGGTTTTGTGGTCAAGAAAATTATAGAGATATGTTCCCATGCCCTGAAGAAAGGAAAACTAAAAAGAAGAAGTCTTCCATTTTAAAGATCCAAAAGTTAAGGCCAATGAAAAGAACATGACTGAGAAGGAAGACAGAAGTGTATGTTTTCTTTAAAAACCTGAGCGGGTTGTTTTTCAGGATTCCCCTCTCTTTTATCCCCTAAACAGGCCAATTCTGGATCAGATGAAGAAATCCTGAGCCTTCCCAATTTCTTATAATTTAAGACAAAAGGAAAAAAAAAACACGATCGCTTGGCCAAGTATTGCAATCCAATGCTTTGCAATATGAAGTATTGCAATATAATACAATACTTTGTAAGGCTTGGCAAGCATTACAATGCAAAGCTTATCTTTTGTATGCCCAGTGCATTTCTAATGGGCATGGAATTGTATTTGGAGATTAAAACAAAAACCTGCAATCTCTTTTCTCGTACAAGATGACTCTAGGGTAGTGTTTTTCAACCTTAACAATTTTATGAGGTGCGGACTTCAATTCCCAGAATTCCCCCAGTTAGCATAGCTGGCTGGGGAATTCTGGGCATTGAAGTCCGCACCTCATAAAATTGCCAAGGTTGAGAAACATTGTCTAGGGGGTACGTTGGAAAAATATATCGGTTGTTATGATGGAAACGGAAAAAAATTAGAAGCAGAAGATGGTTTTATTTAGGGGTGTTTTTTCTTCCCTTTATTGATAGCTAACAGGCTATGGGAAGAGCTTCTGTTCACATATAAAAATCTAATGAATAAACATAGGGTTTATGAGAGCATCATTATTATTCAATATCATTCTTAATTTCACTGGACCCGAGGAAACTATCCCATCTATGGTTCAAAATAGCGATATAGGGATTTTATTTTACAGATTCCTGTGTCTTGTTTTGTACAAACTCAGTCGCAGTATATAATATGTTGTCATTTATAAATTAGTGTGGCATTCAAACCTTCCAACTGGCTTCATTCAATAAGCCATGGATAAAATAACTTCATATGAGTTTTGAGTCCAGCTACTCACCCGTACTTTATATTTGCTATTTACTGTTTTAATGCTTTTTTATCTTATTAATTTATTTTTTAAGCCACCTAGAGCCATGTGTTTGAGATTGGCATATAAAGATGACTGAGCTGTTCCTAATCATCCAAAAATCTATGAATACAGTAGATCCCAATCTGCTTTCCTGCATAGCTCTACAGTAGTTTCTCTAAGCTGGCTTCTAAAATCCTACCATTTGTGCATGGGCATCAATTGCAATTCCCAGAGATCTCATTTGCACAACTGATGCTGAGTGATGCAAATTATGTAATACTCATCATGTGTGCAATTAGTATGATGCACATGATGGCGCTTGTCTGTCTTCTTCCCCTGATATACATTTCCTTACAACAGAAGAAGAAAATCTTTAAAGTGGTCAATGACCAATACATAATGAAATTTAATAATATAAATTACCTCTATATCTATCTTCTATCTACCTACCTACCTACCTACCTATCTATATCTCTCTCTGTTTCTATCATCAATCTATTGCCATTATTATTTTCATAAATACTATATTTATATACTGTATTGTACCTAAATAAATACTGTATTTATTGTACCTAAATAAATATGGCAAATATTAATTGTAGACTAACTAGACCTATCTATATGTTGGCTATAGTGTTTACACATGACACAGCAAGATATACTTAGGATAATAGAACTGAACATATCTAATAAAAGGTATAAGGTTGAGATGACTTTGAAATTTATTTGAACATGGGATTATACAAATACCTATCAGCATAAATTTGCAATATAATAAAACATGGTTAATAGTTTCAGAGGTGCCAAGAAAGAGAAATATTTCAAATGTTATTCCAGAGTGACCCTGATTGACAAAGCTCAAAGGCTGGTTAAAGATACCCTTGATCTTTCTGATCTCAGTTAAACGATGGTTGTCTATCGTTTACACATTACCTTCATTGTGCATTTATAGCACACAGTTTTTCTCCATTGCGAGGAGCAGAATGGGGAAGCTGATGGTTGAATGAAGATTGGAAATGCCTGCACATAACTGACTAATTGATTCCCTATCCCTAGAAATTCAAGCACGGGGAAGGAAGATTTGCTACCTGCAGATCATCTTGTTGGTTTCCATAGGACTTTCCCCCCATACGCTACTTTGAGCTAAGCATGGAATAAGCCACAAGGCTCGCCATTAGAATTTGAATGAAGTAACGGGCACTACTAACATTTGAAGATCCTGGGCATGGCTGGCTGCACGATTCATTGGCACACAAGTGGTTGATCACGAGCCACATCACCCTCTTGTTGCGATCACTTGCATTCTTCCCGTTGGGCAGGCTCAAGTTGCTCGCAGTGATGATGAAATCAACGCATTCATCAGTTCGAGTTTCGCTGCTGTCATTCAGCCGGTGGGACAAAGAACAGTTGGGGTAGAAAACTCCATTGGGGAACTCCTTCGCATTGTCCCTGTAAAAAATGGTGTCATTGGCCTCCAGAGTCATGATGTCAAGCATTTCACTGCCGTAGCAAAGATTTCTCGGAGGGATGGAAATTTTGGTGATATTTTTGAACTTCTTCCACTGCCTTCTGCGTGAGCTCCTCCTTACAGTGACACCATCATTGCTGCAGAAAACTGCAAAGAGGAGAGCAGCCAGGAGATTTTTCCACATTGTGAAATCTTTGAAAAGAAAAAAAAAGAAAAAGAAAAGCACTTTGGATACGGCAACAGGTAATAGAAGATTTTCAAGATCCAAATTTAATCTGATATCAAAATGTTGCACAAGTAGCAGTACTGAAAAAGTTTGGAAACTATTGCAACTATCATGATTCACCAGGTAGTTTAATTCTTGTTCTGACTGCTAAGGAAAAGGGAACTTCCTTTGGCATGTAAGAGCCAACAGGAACTCCGTTTTAATTTAAGGTTCACATCCAAATAGATTCTTCTGCACTACCCAGCCAAGTTCAAGTGAAAACCTCTTTACATCTTAGCCATAAGAAAACCTAGTTTGTGTGTGTATGTGTCAAGCTCTAAAAACCATGAAAGACACCTTGTGATTTTTTTTCTTACTAAATGAAAGCATGCTAACCACTCCTTAAGGCACATACTCTGGGAACTATTAAGGAGGAGCGGTCTTCACCCTCTGTCTCTCACACAAACTATCTGAACTGAGTTGTCTCTTGCTCCTCTGGAATGCACCCCCCCTTTGGAATCCAGACTACATTCCCTCCCAGTCTGTCTGTGAAAGGGGGAGTGAGACAGAATGGCAGGTAACAGCAAAAGACATAGGTGAAATTTTGCATTTTTTATTCTAAAATAATAACAGAAAAAGAAAAGGAACAAAACACACACATAATTACGACACAAATACATGCATTCTCAATAGAATAGAAAACCTTTTTTTAAAAAAAGTGAAAAAAAGCAAGAGGAAAAAAGAGCCAAAACATAAGATCCTGTTAAAACCATGACACCAACAGCTACAAATCTACATATCTAATGTAAATATTATCCAAATATTATCCAAGGGCATAGATATTTATTTCTAATACAGTTATATAACCTACTGTATTTTGTAGAAATGAGTTCCATGTTTCATTATACTTCTCCATACAAAGTCTAAGTCTATAGGCAATCTGCTCCTAGGTCGTAAGTCAATCTGCTCTTCAATCAACTTAGTGAATGGGACCATATATTTATCTTTTCAGTGCTGCAATGTCAGTCTTTTGGCCATAGTAGGGCTCCAGACAATCCATTTACAGTGTCCACTTATCATATTCCATCTACTAGGCATGCAATTCAAGATAATATCCTTTGACATCTTTAGCTTTTGTCACACAACCATATTTATATAGTCCAGCACTTTCCCCCAAAACTTAGTAAATATTAGATATTTTAAAAATGTCTTTTCAAGAGGCTTCTCAGCATTTTGTGAAGATTACGTGCAACTCTTGATGAAACGTGATACATTGTGCCTTCACCTGAAGATGCCAACCACAATTGCCAGCAACATATCAGGATATCTGTCGTCTAGATCATGGTCACGAAACACTGAAGTTCAGGACTGTCCAACAGATACCAGCCATGAAAACCTACCCCAATTTCACTATTTTATATATTTCTATCTTTTTCAGTTGGACATTCATTTTTTACACTTTATCCCTTGAATTGTTTGCTTAAAAATTATCTCAAAGGTAGAAGCATTATAGCCTGAAGAACGGAGTCTAAACAGAGACCACGTCTTTTCCTGGAACAAGCTAGCAGACACACGGAAGCCAAACAGCTAAAAATGGATTCTTATGTAATATGTAAAGAACTGAAGACACTTGTGGAAACTTTTCCATCCACTAATAGATTTGCTGTGCTGGACTCAGTCTTTACCTGCAGTTCTAACGGATTCTGCACAATCTCTTCCTCTGGATGAGTTAGAAGAAAGCTCTCAAACAACACCTTTGGAAACTTACCTTGGAGGTATGTTTTAAATGCATTCTTTTTACAGCAAAAACAGTTATTTCTTTTCTTTTGAGAAGCTTCAGATAGTAAACGAGAAGCTTGATTGCTTTGAAAAGCTGATTGGCATCCTGGGAGAGAGTCTTTGTAAGTATTCGTTTGATTCTCCAGATAATTGTATTAGTTTGATTCTGCCTAGGCTCCCTTATGGTCTAACAAATCCTTTAACAAAAGCCCCTAAAGTGCACACAACCCACCCGCTAGAATGGATAGCTCTATTCATACTATCCGGGGAATGAAAAAGAATTGTAGTCCAAAATACCCAGAGAGGAAGCTGCTACAATGCTGCTTAAGCACTGCAAAGACTGAATACTTTTGGGAGTAACTTACCTCTCAGTAGGAATTATTCCTGGTGAGCTTCTCTGAAGATGTGTTCTTTGGAAAGGCAAGTTTCTCTGTATGCTTGAGGACTGATTCTCTCTTGAAATTTATAATGGCGGTGGGGTACTTTAAATACCAAGTACGGCCAATCAGATATCTCAGAGGACCTGCCATGTCTCACCTCTGCGGTCACCATTTGCGATGCATTTGTTAGTTGCATTTTTTTTTTCCTAGAGGGATGTTCTGATTCAGTGGGAAAAAAAGCCCCAACAGTCCACCACAGGCTCCAGGCAGAAGCTGTGCTTTTAGTGATAATTTCGTTTGCAAAGAGAACAAAGTGCATCCCTTCACATTAGTTTTAAAACTAGGAGCACATGATCATTACTTGGGAGCATCTAAAGATCTTTTACCTTTGCATAAAAGATGCCTCTGAATGGAATTCTAGCAAAGTCTGATACAATATGATGTCAGCCCCAACAAGACTAAGAAATCAATGCTGTATAGATCGGGATCTTTCCTGTAACAGCTATCATGACAAAAACGCCGGGACACTCAGCCACATCTCTCATTAAGCTGGAAACTTGAGCAAGCATATATATGTCTGTTGCTATGGAAACGTTTTCCTCGGTAAATAAAACGGAATGAAACTAAAGCCGTCATTCTTCTTCCAGTTGAATTATAGCAAAGAAAAGAGATGCAGGTAGACATTTTGGTACCAATCAATTGTTTTATGTTTTTATAGAAAGGATATTTCCAAAGAAGTGATATATCCCTTTACATATATGGTTCTGGAAAAACAGCAGCTGAAGACTGTTGAAGGCACAGCAGGAATACGATACTTCCTGGTGATCTAAAAAATAAACCTGCATTTTAAAAAATGCCAACAGAAGGAAGAGAAACAAATCCATTTTACTGATGGTTGATGAATTTCTTTTCCGCATGCAAGGTTCAGTCCATCATTTAAACTACAGTACCTTAATTTAGATTTAGATTTAGATTTTATTAAATTTATACCCCGCCCTTCTCCCGGAGGACTCAGGGCGGCTTACAGCCAGTTTAAAACAATGATATAATACAATACAAACTTTAAAAAGATTAAAAATAACTATTTAAATTTGGCCGCTTCTACTAAAAATTTAATTTAAAACCCCTTTAAAATATTCCCAGGATCAGTCCAGGTGGAGATTCATTGCAGTAAGCTTCCTCCTTCCGTTATATATTCAAGATGGACAGTATTTAATATTTATTTGCTATGTATATGTAGGGGTGTGGGTCTATACATATGTTGTTCATAGTATGTTTAGGTGTGTGTCATGTACGTGTTTCACTTTCAGAGCGGGCAACTAAATTTCATTTTTGATGTGTGCCGTTGTGCCCACAGTAAAAAAATGACAATAAAGGTTATCTTATCTTATCTAAAATTAATCTTTTTAAAAGGTATAGCATTCAACTTTATCCTCAGAAGCTAATAGTGAAAGCGTAGGTTTAGCTAGAGGCTCCTGAGCCATCTGCTCTTCCTCAAAAGACTAGGAATTACTCATCAAAATATCTGATTTCCAAATCCATTTAGCAGAATGATAATCTGTTTCAAAGGCTGCTCTCATCTGTTTTGTTTTCCAAGATAAGCCATAGGTGATATTGACATTGAACATGCTCCATCTACTCCAGTACCTGCTTAACATTAGACATCTGGATAAATATATGGGGCTGCAAACCTCTACTAGATATCTGATGCAGTTGCCCCAATAAACTTATTTCTATGATTATTACTGTTGTGTCTTTGCTGGGATGAAGTTGGTGGTTGTTACAAGGTCAAGTTGAAATCATGTCCATAACTGTAATTTGTGTTCTGTTCCTCAGATTGGATGGAGAAGAAAAAATAGAGAAAATTTGAACTGGTGGTGGATAGGAAGTACATCTTCATTTTTGCAAAGCGTGGCTGTTTGGAAAAAGTGACTGAATTCATACTGAGATGGAATCAGATGCTCTTTTTTTAATGCACTAGATGGGAAGATTCAGTTGTATCCAGAACAGACAATCCCACAGAAATCAAAGACACGGGAAATGTAGGGCTGTGGGTTACGAGTAGTAGAGCTATCTTTCCAGCCTAAAAATACAGATAGTTCTCGATTTAGGACTGCAACTGAGCCCAAGATTTATGTTGCTAAACCAGACGGTTGTTAAGTGAATTTTGTCCCTTTTTTATGACCTTTCTTGTCACATCTGTTAAGTGAATAATGCAGTTGTTAAGTTAGCAATAACTTTGCTTATCCGAAGGTCACAAAAGATGATCGCGTGACCCCGGGGACATTGCAACGTTCATAAATATTGCCCAGCATCCAAATTTTGATCACGCAACCATGGGGATATTTCAATGGTAGTAAGTGGGAAAAATAGCCATAAGTTACTTTTTTTCAGTTGCAACTTTGGTCACTAAATGAATGGTTGTAAATTGAGAATTACCTCTACGAAGGAGAAACATCTCTTGGAGAGAGTGGGTTTAAATAAGTATTTTCATTTGAACACTTGCAAGTCCTGTGCTTTTGAGAATTTGACTATATATCCCTTTCCACAAGCATTTTGATTCTCTAAGGAAGGTTCAGATATCTATAAGAGAATAGTAGCTTTTGTCAATTTATCAAACCCCCCCCCCCAGCAGTCATGTTGACTTGGGACATTGGAAGTTCTAGTCTGGTACATCTGATGGGCTTCAAGCAGTGGTGGGATTCAGCCAGTTCGCACCAGTTCGGCAGAACCGGTAGCTAATGTTTTGTTGTCCAGGCCCAGAACGGACTTCCGGAAGCGGC